GGACTCCACAAAACTCAGAACGGCAAATCCGGAGACAGATGTGGGAGCACCTAGAAGCGTGGAGAGACTTTGTCAATTACTCGGAAACACATCCCTCGCAGCATGCATCGTCAACACCACCCCATCGCTATCAATTCGGGCCCTCCATTCACTTTGCCTACTTATTCAATGATTTCAAGCCCATGCCGAACTCCACGCCAACTCACTCTCGACCTCTCTCCGAACGCATATCCACCTCGTCGTCCAGCCAATCCTTTCTCGCGTCCAACCAGTCCTTTCGGGACCAGCCATCCCCTTCGGCGAGCACGCCGTCTCCCCCATCGTATGAGTCCGACAGCCACGTCGCCACCAAGAAGTCGGTCCGCTTCTCCACCCAACACAAATCCCTCGATCATTACGATCCCGGATGGACGTCCCTGAGCGCTCTCTCAGATTGGACAACTCCTGCGAAGGTTTCAAAGAGGCAGCTCAAGCGCGAATGCCGCCATCGCAACAGGCAGTCGAAGCCACTCATAGTCATCAAGAAGGCTCTCGAGGAGGCAGTCACGAAGGTTCAGGAGGAGATCTGGGCCCTTAACTAACTCCGATCGTTGCTCGAAGGTAGAATAGGGGGTAATGTTATGATGGGCATGGTGGCATGGGATATCATTTCCTTTTTGTCTCTGACTCTAGTTTAGTAGTACTGCCTTCGTCGACTCATAGAGCGCAGCTTCACTGACTCACCCGCAGTCCCTTTGACTAGTAGACTAGTACTTAGGTTAGGCTGAGCAGTAGTATAAATACCCCGCGCATGTACAAGTAGCACCCCAGCTTTCAGCTCTTTCGTATATTCACGTTTCTTTATTCTGCTCTAACCTCATCTGCGGATAAGGCGATCAGACAAGCTTCAGGCTTGCTAAGAAACCTCTGTCATAACAGCAATGGTCATCCACCTACATGATGCTGCATCAGACAGAAGCTCGTAAAGAGGTATGTGTACACACTGATCACTATCCTATATTGATGCTCAGTAGTATTGGAGTAGCACATTGATGTCTTCATATACGAGATTGGTATCAAGAAGACAAATCTCGACAAGCGGCGCAAGATCGATAGTCTTAAGCTTTCATCTTTTGAGTGGCAAAATGTGTCGCTCTTTCTTGGGCTTCTTAGGGTACGAAACCCCTCTTGTGCTTGTTATCTGCTGTTCTTACTGTTTTTTTTACTAGCAATCTAACTACGCGCAGCAGTCCTTCTCGTCAGAGAAGGATTCCACCCTACACCTCGCTCTCCCAGCTTTGGAAGCATTGTACAAGGCTTGGTCTTTGCGTGCTGAGTGAAGCAAGTACATGCAATTTGCCCCTGCTCTGGAGGCTGCTGCTGCAAAGGTAGACGAATACTACAATCGCACAGATACTTCAGATGCATACATTGTCACCATGTGTATGTTTAATCATATATTACCCTGCGCACAATTGACCAATTCTGTAGACCTGACCCCGGACCAGAAGGGGGCGCATTTCAAGAAGCACTGGTCCGCAGACTTGCGCCTGCAAGCGGAGCAATCCATGGAGAGGGTGGTAAGTCATCTTCATTTTGTTTGTTATGCTGCTCTGATATTTTATTAGTTTGCAGAACGGTGGAACAAGCTGCACCGCTCCAGTTCATCTACTGCCTCCGCTTCTGCCCCCAGACTGTCTAGAAAGGTATCTACCCTCCTTAGAGAGCTTTCAGACGACGAGTACGAGGCTTCAGCTATGGAAAACCCATCAGCAGAGCATGGTGGCTCTTTGTCCGACCAGGATAAGCCTTACTGGCAGGAGTACCACAGCTATCTCATCAGCAAAGAGGTCGTGCCACTAGGCATGTCTACTGTGACATGGTGGGGTGTAAGTACTTTGATTTTACTCCACCACCATAGCTAAATGGTATCACAGCTGAACGCAGCTCGATCCCCCACTTGGGCGTCGCTTGCTCACGATTTCCTTTCTATCATGGCCAGCTCTGTCTCTAGTGAGAGAGCCTTTTCCCAGGCAGGTATCACCATCAGCCCAAGGCGCAACTGGTTAAAAGCAGATGTCGTCGAGGCACTTCAATTTATGAAGTGCCTCCTCAAGCACGATCTCATATTCCGGGAGCCTGGGCCGTCTTCCTTGGTGGAGGAGGATGAATTGGCCCAGGATCTTGCTGAGATGACCTTGAATGCGCAGGAGGCTTCTGTTCTGGGACCTTGGGACCTTGGCCTTCTAGACGACGATGATATGGACTTATATGAGTAGCTGTTATGATGTATAATGCAAGGATGCGCCGGCAATACAAGTGTTGCGATGATTTTCTTGTTCATGTGAAGTTCGAGTTTGTGAACGGCTTTACTGATGTTTCACATCAATATTATACCTCAGAGCATTTATTTAAGCCTTATACTTTGCAGGAAAACCATTTATATGCAGTACATGATCGTGTGTCTATGTATGGCAGCTGTGGAACCGTTGACAAGGTCAATCCACAGCACTTGCCTAATTAGGATGCAAGCCGCGGCCCAAGCCAAAGCCGAGCCACTGGCTTATGGCTTGCGGTGGCTTGCGGCTTGGCTTGGGTTTTTGCAAGCCTAAGCCTGGCGAAGCCAAGCCAAAGCCACCGGCTTCTGGGCCAAGCCGAGCCAGTCAAATCACTATTAGCCAATATCTTTCCCTCCAAACTGATATGTCACATATAATTAAGTCAAGATGTACCACAACATCTGACAGAAATGCCATGAGAACTTTAATCATCAGTCTATATAATATAATTCAATACACAACGCCCTTGTAGTACATACTGTTAACCATCCATGCTGAAAAGATCATCATCGTCCCCTGTCAAGACAGGCCCACTCAGAGGACTGCTGAGTGCACCCTGTGGGTTTTGCCACACACGTGTGGTTGCTGTCCGTGCAGAGACATTCGCGGTAACACCGTTCCCTCCTGTGATCAAGTCAGGACGGCAGATGATCGGACAAAGACAGAGACTTACGTGAGGCTGCTGCAGAGTAAGATCGATGAGAGAACATGCTCTCGAGGCCACCAGCGGACGGTGTCGCAAATGGTTCGCCCGCAGGCGGCGGACTACTCCATTCGACGGATGCACCTGACAGCTGACCTTTCAGCCCTGGCGAAATGCCCGTCGAACGACCAGGGCTTAAAGCCATCGTTGACGAGGGCGAAGCAAGCGGAGGGAGTGCGTGTATCCGCGAGTAACCGGCGGCAAGACCTTGAGGGAGGCTTTGTCCGGGAGCATGTGATTGTAGCGCTCGAGTTGACGGCGAGAACGCACTGCGGTCGATGTCACCGCTGAAATTGTCGTGGGTAGCGGGGATAGGTCGCGCAGATACATGGCGTTGCACTTGCGAGAGATACAAGTCAGATGTTCGTCCGTCGAAAGTAGTGCCAGCCGTAAATGCGCTTACTCGAGGCGGGGAGAAAGTAACGTCCCCACCTGCATTCGAGAAAGCTGACGGATGAAGGGATGAAGAGAGAGTCGATGTAGGCGCATGAAGGGACGACAGGCCGGGCCCGAGCGTCTGTCTTTGTGAAGAGTTTGTATTCATGTAATGGTGAAGACCAGGCAAAAAAGCAGCGGAAGCGTTGGAAGGAGCCATTGGATCGTCGCGTCCGCCAAAACCGGAATTGCTCTGGAACGAGCTAGGTGTTCCATTGCCCAACCCACCACCAGTGATACCCATACCGTTGAAACTAGAGTCGGTTGCACCGGGAGAACCAGTGGTATCCATCCAAATCGACCGAATGTCCTGCAGGAGTGACGGTGCAGGCACGGAACGGGAGTGACGATGATGTGGACCGTCGGATAAAACGTCCCTAGACGCTGCGTCGTTTTCCAGCCGGGACATAGCAGGACGAACGGCGTTCGTGCGAGAAAAGCGTCGCGACCTCTCCTCTGGGGTCAGGAGATCCGAGAGTGAGCCCGGGATGAACTCCTCTAACTCCCCATCCTCCACAACAACTTCATCTTGAAGGGAGTAGATTCCCGAAGGTCGCCCCCGACCTAACTGAGGGTTATGTGTATCTCCCACTCCCCAATTCGTTGCACCTAGAGATGCAGATAACCCAGAGCGACTCTTCAAATCCATGGCGCGCTGGTGCTCGTGGGCTATAAAGCCGGACTGATGACTAGGCGTAGAGAAAGGCGAGCCGGACGGCGCAGGGATCCCAGGGGGTGCTGCAACTATATAGCCGTTCTCTTGGACGAGCCGGCCAGCTGCTGATGAATGAGGAGAGGACGCGACGACATTGGGCTCGGACACGTGAGCTGTATCCGACTGTTCGCGAGTGCGTCCGGAAGAGTTAGAGCGAGTAGAGCCTGCCTCTTCCATCTTCTCCTTGCTGGCTCCTTCCAAATCTGAGGCGGACGTGATGCCGTCAGTAGACACAGAATTCGGCTTGCCTTGGGCGGGGGCGCTGGGGAGCTTGTTACTCTCGTCAGGTAGGCCAAACGACGCAAAATCTGTGTTTTGAACGGGGGGAGCGGGGGCAGACGGGGACAGCGTAGCTTTGAGGGGCATTGGTATCCCTGAACGCGAAGACGAGAGGGAACGTGTTGGTGCAGTTGAGCCGGAGAGCAAAGAGCCACGAGAACCTGAGCTGCTGTTCTGCGAGCCTTGTCCGCCGCTCTTCTGAGATCGACCAGATCTATGTCCTTCGCGTCCTGACGAGTTCCCTGCGCTAGCTGCGGCCTGAGCCGCTTTCTTGTTCTTCCTGTCCATCGACATGCTCTGACCAGGAAGAACATGTGCCAAGGCGCACTTGTGCCCGAATTTGCAGTTCCCTTTCACAAACCAAGCGCATACCTCCTTCGGTTGGCCGGGTTCCAAAACAGTATGCGAGAAGGGACAAGAAGAGCCGGCGGTACAGGATCCCACCTTGAAAAATTTGCAGGGAACATGGGACAGGTCCTTGGCTATTGCGGAGATGATGTCGGCAAGTGTGCTCTCAAGGAACTCAAGTAATAGACGCACTCTTTGCAGCACCCTTTGACTTCGAATTCTTGTCCTTTTCCTTCTCTTTCTCCTTGTCTCTATCGACGTCCCTCGAGAGATCTTGTGAATCTTCTTCTTTGAGGCCTTTGTCGGGATCATGCATGATTTAGCGGTATAGGGAAAGAAATGAAAGAGACTAGATGGTATGCAAGACCACCCCAAGGCAGAGACGAACTTGAGGGAGGAAAATGCAAAGACAGCTACTATTGGGAAGCGGCCCAAAGTAAACTTCAGCAAAACCGCCGTGCGCTTTCGTGATTACCAAAACGGGACCTATCCTGGTCACCGCTGCAAGCGCCCTTCAGTGACTGCACAATAGTCGGCAGTCACGCATCTCCACTCCCAACACCCATTTCCCCTTCATCTGCACTATGTCGGACGAACGCCTAACAAACTTCGTCGTGGGCAGCAACTACAAAGTTCTCGATGTCATCGGCGAAGGTGCCTATGGCGTCGTCTGGTGCGTTCCGTGCGCCCCTCATCCGCATAGACTCAGCTCACAGATGATTGTCTGCATCTAGTTCGGCTCTCCATGTGCCTTCACAACGGAAGGTCGCTATAAAGCGTATTACACCGTTTGACCACACCATGTTCAGTCTGAGAACTCTGCGAGAGATTAAACTACTTCGCCACTTCCACCATGAGAATATCATCTCGATACTGGACATCTTACGACCGCCATCGCTGGACGACTTCAAGGAGGTGTACCTGGTACAAGAGCTGATGGAGACAGACTTGCATCGCGTTATTCGCACTCAAGATCTCAGCGATGATCATTGCCAGTATTTCATCTACCAGGTGTGTAGCAACTTCCAATTTCACTAACCGTTCGCAACGTGCGAAACACATAGTACCGTAGTGTATTCTGAGCTGATTTGGATTTACTGCACAAGACTCTTCGCGCCTTAAAAGCGCTGCATTCGGCCGATGTTTTGCACCGTGATTTGAAGCCGTCCAATTTACTCTTGAACGCGAACTGCGATCTGAAGGTGAGTACATGTCCATTCGGAATTTCGTCGTTCTTGCTTTGACATACGTATCTTTCCGTGACATTACCGTGCGGTCGGCGCACTTGTAGCTTTGTGACTTCGGACTTGCGCGCTCCGCACGGCCACCTCCCAACTTCGCGAATGACAGCAGCACATTCATGACGGAGTACGTAGCGACGAGGTCAGTGCACCGGGTGTTGGTATGCTGGCCTCCCTCATCATATATCTGATCAGGTGGTACCGCGCTCCAGAGGTTATGTTGACCTTCAAGGAGTACACACGCGCAATTGACATCTGGAGCGTGGGTTGCGTGCTCGCCGAGATGTTGAGTGGAAAGCCGCTGTTCCCTGGACGAGATTGTGCGTGGGTATCCCGACTTCACATATATCACTGGCTGACAAATTTTCGAACAGATCATCATCAACTCTCTATTATACTCGATGTTCTCGGGACACCGTCCATAGATGACTTCTATGCTATCACCTCTCAGCGATCACGCGAATACATTCGTGCGCTGCCATTCCGGAAGAAGAGGACATTTAGTCAGTTATTCCCGGGCGCGAATCCATTGGTAGGTTATTTGGTACCGTATTTATTCTCGCTTAACATGTGCGATAGGCTTTGGACCTCATGGAGAAGTGCCTCACATTCAGTCCAAAACGTAGGATTGACGTTGACGAAGCGTTGAAGCACCCTTACTTGCAGGTAATTGTGGCCAGCGCGTTGTAACGATTCCGTGCTCACACGCCCTTTTAGTCTTACCACGATCCAGCAGACGAGCCGACGGCTGAACCACTTGACCCGTCCTTCTTTGACTTTGACTATGGGACCCCACTGGGTAAAGAGGAGTTGAAAGGTTAGTGGCACTCCGTCGAATTTTCGCGATACGCTGACTGCGTTGTTAGCTTTGATATATGAAGAAATCACCATACCACGGATGCAATCCTAGTCTGGGCATCGTTTCATTGATACCCTTTCCCCGGGCGGGCCCAGCTGCATACCCCTTCTCATCATATGACATAGCAGACTCGTAGGAATTGTGTGAGCTAATGCTATTCTACTGACCCGTTCGTAATGTGATATCACGCTGCAACACGGCCCTGATGAGGAGAAAGAGCGGTCGGGGCAAGTGTGGAGGTAGTCGAGCAAAGGCCTAGAATTGAGCGCTATTGAGCCGTCGGCCGAAACTGGTATTGGCGCACGTGAAATTATAGTCCAAACCGGGAAGCGCCTGCTAGTGTGGCCCCCGCGCCGTCTCTCAAGAGCCGACTCATGATCTGCTTCCGCTCGATATTAGTCGACCAGCTCTCGTCTTCCTGACATACATGATCTGTGACTTCTACTACCACTCAAGGCCTCCTTCACGTCGCTCCCATGTCTTTCAGAATCTCTAAATCGCTATGGGACAAGATACACTACTTCGCGTCTTTCCCGCAGACTGGGGGTGCGTACTACTCCTTATGCGCTCCTCCTTCGCACGCTGACGACGAGTCTTTTCCAGTGTCTTTGCAGCAGATGGTCCTCTTTGGCCAAAATCCAAGCCAAGGCACTCTGTTGAAAGCTAGTCAGTTCCTCCTCGGTGCGTGCTGTCACAGTATTCTGTTCGACGTAGTCCTGAATGGGATTCAGAGGAGCTACCCATACGACTTGCACACAGAGTTAGGGAGTTAGATCAGCTACCTCACAATCTGAGCAGCATGCCATCTATTCAGAAAGTCAAGCACTGGTATGCCCAATCCTTCGAGGTACGTCAGTGGTGGAATTAGGTCGCACGACATTCGCTGAGTAGTCTTCCGCTAGGAACTGGTCAAATTTCCGCCAATTTGTTTATCCTTGCACCTGCGGGAGGCACTCACGGCTGCATCTCCGAACCAACTACCAGAATCCACCCCGAACCCTTCGCTAACATATTTTTCGGACGATTACTTAACGCCCGATGCTCCTCTCCCGTATTCAGTCAATGGCAACGGCAACAGCCATGGCAGCGCGAATGGTAAACATCAAAAGATGCGGATACCTATGGAGCGTAGGTGTGTCTCCCACCTTTCGATACTCTCAATGTGAGATACCGAGATTTACTTGGAGAAGATATTTCGCAAACACTTCCGGAATTACCTGGCCTCCAGAAGTCCGCGACTACAATCGGAACTTCACGAAAACTCTGGAGATGATCAAGAAACGACATGACCCAACTGTGACAACCGTCGCGCAAGGCGTCTTGGAGTGGAAACGAAGTTGCAATGCCAAGAACATCAATCTCGACGTCCAGACCTGGCTTGACAGGTTTTACTTGTCGCGTATTGGTATCCGATTTTTGATAGGACAACGTATGCACCTCTTCGCCGACGATGCATATCCATTAACAGCAGTTTGTAGATGTTGCTCTTAACACCCTGCAACCGCACCCAGACTATGTGGGCATCATTTGCACACGATCAGTGAGTGCTCTCTGTCCTACAATATGCTATATGCTCACATGGCATAGAACATTCATGATATTGTACACGAAGCCATCGAGAACGCTAGATTTGTTTGTGAAGATCACTATGCCATGTTCAAGGGTCCTCCGGTGCAGCTCATCTGTCCGAAAGACTTGACATTTCCCTACGTTCCCGGCCACTTGTCGCATATTGTCTTCGAACTGCTCAAGAATTCATTGCGTGCGGTCGTAGAGCGGTTCGGGCCTGATCAAGAGGACAAATTTCCACCTATCAAAATCATTGTCGTCGAAGGCAAGGAAGATATAACAATCAAGCTTTCGGACGAGGGCGGGGGCATTCCGCGGAGCGCCATTCCGCTCATCTGGACATACATGTACACCACGATGGAAGGCCAGAACATCGACCAGGACTTCCAAGCCAGTGACTTCAAGGCCCCGATGGCCGGTTTCGGCTATGGTCTGCCTCTATCGCGTCTCGTGAGTATTTTCGATGGCTGTACGTGGGCTGCTAATAACAGTCGTTCAGTACGCTCGTTACTTCGGTGGAGACCTTCGATTGATTTCCATGGACGGCTTTGGAACGGACGTGTACATCCACCTGAATAAGCTTTCGAGTAGCGCGGAGCCCCTGCCGTAAGTCGTTGGACGGCTTGCATTCCCCAATATCTGGCACAGACTAGGAATGATATCACAATATATGTCAACTTGCAGTTGTAATCTAAATGTACACACAATGTGTTTTGCCTGGATAGTCCGCAGCGGTGGCAGTATTAAGAGGAACCTGGGTCAATCGCCCATATACTAGATGAGTGTCAAGAAGGTTTACAGGGTCGCCTATGTCTGTCTGTCACTGTTACTAATTATATTCCCATCCCACGACCGCTTCAGCGACGGCGGAACAGGGTGGCTCATCAGGTGATTTGCCCAAGCATTTCCGGTCACAGAGGCACACCTCTGGCTGAGCTGATGTAGGTACGCTGCGCGTGCTTGACCCTGTGTTTGCTTCTCCTCGATCTTCGCCTCAATCTCCTCTACCTGTTCCGACAAACGCTGATTCGCGTACTTCAGCTGCTGTAGCTCATACTGCCAACCGCTTCCGCGCGCTGTATCCAACTCCGCAAACACGTCTTCTGTAAGTGGGTGCGCCATAGCTGAAGTCTGCCTGTCCTGGGTGAGCCTGATCTGGCACACGAGTGGACGTATAGTTGTGTGTTCGAGCACGTGCGCATTCTCGTCCGCTTCCGGTCGGTAGAGTACGACGTCAACAAATATCTCCGAGCCATCCTTCTTCTTCAGGTGGCATGACAGGCTCGGGCTTCCCGAGGACGCGAGCGATGGACCTGCGCACGTCTGCTGTAATGTCTCCTGGACGATCGCGCGGCCGCGTTGTGGGTCGTCTCCGCCAATGAATTCCGTAATGGACCGTCCAATAATCTCAGCAACGCCCCATCCGAGGACGTCCCGGATAGCGGTGCCTGCATAAAGGAACGAGCCACCCTCGCTGAGCAGCGCCCAGCACTCGCGCTCGTGGATCTCGTCTGCGCTACGTGTGCCAAAGGGAGCCAATCCCCCTGCTCGTGCGAGGGTCTGCCAATGCAACGTAGGGATGCTGCGCACGCGACCGCTCAGGACGATTGCCTTGCGGCCCTTGCCCGGCTCGACGAAGAGGCGGCCACTGCATTCTATCCAAACATAATGGCCATTCTTAGCGAGCATCCGGAAGAGCAGGTCGACGTTCCGCGGACCATATTGTGTTGACGGCTGCTGAGCGGCTTTCCCATTTGCCTGTTGCTGGACGATTGGTTCATCTGGACTTGATTGAGACATCGAGGACGTGGCAGAAGTAGAGCCGTTAGAATAACTCTGCGCAGGAGAAGGCCCGCTTGAAGATTCCTTGAGTTCGCGTATGAGCGGAATTTTATCCGCCTCATAGCAGAATTCTGTGATGCCCTTGCCGACCAGATCCTCGGGATCGTACCCAAGTACCCGCCGTACTGACGGCGAGACGTAGAGAAAGGCCCCCTTCAGCGACAATACCAGGACAACGTCCGGAGCGGCTTCCAACAGCATGAGGCTCAGGAACCTGTTGCCGTCATATGGATCGCTTCTCTCCTCCGGCGCAAGCGATAAAGTGGTCGTTTCAGTGCTGAGTGGGATGCTCTGAACGAACTCGAGGCTGTTCAACATCGTTCGGAACTGCTTTGAAACACCCGTTGTCGCGGACGAGCTTGCCGTGCAGCCCTTAGACGTCGTCGGCGACGGGTATGCGACATTGTTGCTATAGTTCACCATGTAGCTTCCGTCGCGCAGTTTCTGCAGGATAGCGTTTGGCTGCGCAGTCAGGTCAACCTGAAAGCCGACTTGGTAGACGACGTCCTCCGCTTCGTAAGGTGCGTTATTGACACCGCCAGGGACAGGTATAACCGTCACCAGATTGATGAACGCATCGCCGTTCTTCCGATAGTTATATAGGCTGACTTGGCACTCTTTGTCTGCGACAAGGGACTTGCGTAGGTGAGCCACGGCGTCAGGCGATGTGTGGAGGCGCGGACCGCCTTTCTCAACTTGACCACCCGGGGCTTGCAGAAACCGACAGTTGCGGCCAAGAATCTCGTCTTCCTCATATCCTGTGAGTTCGCAAAATGTACGGGAGCAGTAGACAATGGGGTGGTCATATCGCCGAACGTCGACGACGACGAATGAACAGGTCATGTCCACTGGACCCAATGCAATCTTGGGATGCGGACGAGTGGCGACGCGGGCAAGTAGAGGGAGGATGTCAAAGCCAGAGGTAGAATACACGGGTAGACCGCCCACAGGAGACAGAACAAAAGGGACGGAGACCGGTAATCCAGGAGCATGGGCGGTGCGTAGATGTGATGCATGTGCTTGCGGTGAAACATGGTGGGAGGTCGGAGTCGATAATGAAAGCTGAGGCTTCGATGTCGGTTCGCTGGAGCAAGATGTGCTGTTCGGCAGCGGCGGATGGTATGGTGGCATGACCAACGCCTGAGAGAGCGAAGAAGCGTTTTGCGACACAAAACATCTGTTCGGAGTTGAAGAGATATGCGCTCTGCAGTGACCATAAAACTCACGAGTCATCGGTGAACGATCGAAACGGCACACTTGCCAGCCAGCTAGATGCGATAGACGGACGGTTAACAATTCCTGCAGGTAAAACTTCCATGCCGCCGCCTGGTGGAACAGTAGGTCCTAGGACGAGCTGGGGCATCTGGAATGGGACATTGTGTGAAAATATTGTGTGGTCATAGCCGTAGGAATCTGGTCTGGCTGAGACGCTAGGCGGCACGCCAAAATCCGGATATGCGGACACAGGAGGCGGTTCATGAGGATGCGGGACCTGATTATTTGAATCGCGGTCGGGGCTGTAGTGTATGTAGCGTTCGAATGGCATACTAGCTGTGAGGAATCAAGTTGAGCGGAGTGACGAGTATCTCGGAGCTCGGAGCTCGGAGGTTTCAATGCGTTGTCTTGGCGAGCGCTGAGCAAATTGGAACGGGGACGAAATGTGCGACGAGGAGTTTGGCCCGGAGAGGGCAAAGGATGATATGAGGAGGACGGGCGTTGGCGAGGTCTGGTTGCTCAGCTGGCCACAAATTGGGTGACAAGAAGAAGCTGGAGTGCGTGTCGGGGATAAGACGCCAAAGATACAGCGAGCAGGCTCTGATATGGACGAGACTGCATGCGGAGGAGTAGGTGGGTTCGGAGTGCGGCCGTACTGGGGCTAGACGGAGGTAGTGTAGGACCAGTGCCGAGGAGGAGAGATTGCGAGTACGGGAGGAGAAGATGGGGGTCCCTGGCTGAGACGGTGAGGACGACGACGATCAATGACGGTGACGGTGAGGGGGACGAGGACGACGACGGGGAAGAGGGATTTGCACCCGGTCGCTGCAAATGGCCTATCTTGATTAGACGCCCATCGCATGCACCATCCCTTTTCAGGAGCTGCCTCGTTCCCCCGCTTCTTTCGCACTTGCCGTCGAGCACGTGATGTCCGCACGTATCATCACACCGCCAGTCACAGGCGAACGCGAGTCGTCACACCATACGTCGTTGAACTCGACAACCTCCCCACCAGCCAGACTCTGCTCCACCTTCTACAATATATATCTTTTCACCGCGACTGACATTTTTTACCCTGGCGTGGGACTGCATCCAAGATCCTGGTCGCAGACATGATGGAAACTCGACAGCTTGGCCGTGCGTATCTGGAATACATGCCTTGTAACTTGTCGCCGTGCTTATCTTTCTGCCTTCGCAGTTCGCGCACTGTACTCAGTCAATAACACACCCTATATTCTTGCGCTCTCCGTGCGTAAATTTCCGGTCACCATTATTCGACCCGCCGCCTCGCCGCCAAACGTACCGCCACCGGTCTACGGTAGAGCTTCACTCAGACCATTTCTTGATATGATACGCCGCACAAGGTGCAGATAAGCCTCTCTGCGTCTTTAACCTCCAGCTCACTCTGTCAATCTCAGTCCCGAGTTGATCCAAGTTCAGGAAGGCAAGAGAGACTACTCCGTCTACGTCTTGGATCCTCTCGAGGCCTGTTCTGCCGTGCCTGCCCTACCAGGGAATTCCAACAACTTGCCACACGGCGTGGCGACGGGTCTTGGACTCATGTCCGTCGCTCTCGATGATCCTGAATGCGATGTACTGGTCACTGGTACCATCACCAACGATGGAATTCAAGAGAAGAAGTTAGAGGTCATTTTCGCACTACGAGAGGTGTGCCTGAAGCGTTCCTTTTTCGCACTTCCGCGGTTTTGATTTCTGCAAATCGGAAACAGTACACCGGTCCCATTCCTCGCAAAAGAGAGTACGCACTCCAAGCAAGTAGTAGCAAGATAATGGTCGAAAAGCAACGGACATCACACAGGACTTCAGCCATTTCCACGTCATCGCAACCATCACCGTCGATACAGCAACTCTCAAGTTCGTCCAGACGTTCATCCCCTTTGCCTCCGCCCGAATCCCGTACCACAGCCGCCGCAACGCTTGCACCGCTCACTAGTGAATCTACTCTCCCTCTTGATGCATCTGCTTCACCTGCTGTTATTACATCGAGCGGTAGCAACGTAACCTCAGTAACGACATCCGCACCGTCTGCAGTTCAGAGCGTCCTAATGGCCCTATCTAACACGTACAAGGGCCCCGAAATCTTGGCAGCGCTCTCCTCAATCGACTCTTCTTCCGCTGATCCTCCCCCAGGTGCCACCCCAAACCTTGCACTCATCGAAGCTCTAAGCAGACTGTTATATCCGGCCACCCCGGGGCCGGCGCCACCGCCGCCACAAGTCGTCACGGCCTCCTCTTCCGCACAGGCTTCTCGACCACTGCATAAGCTTCCCGCACCTGTGCCTACCTCTCCTCTCCTCTCCCCTCCCAAGAACAAGGGAGGGTCGGACGATGAGATTGTGTGTCTGGATAAGGAAAATGTGAATCCGACCGTCTTTGTGCGCCGAAAGAGTCAGAGGTGCAAGCCGTCTGTCCAAGAACTCCCTAAATCCGCTCCTGTGCCGGACGTCACCCCTCGATTACAGGAGAAACAGAGCACCACAATCGTGGCCGCGCCTGTTGTCAACGGCCCGACGACAGAAATGGCGGGTACAGTGCGCAAGCGCACGCTCAGCGACATTGTCGACGAGATAGATCGCGAACGCGCGAGAAATAGGAAGCGGACGCTAAGCAACACAGCACATTCACGCAAGGCAAACATACCGAATATGGCCACGACGGGTCACAATGCAGTGCCCACGATCGTGACGTCTGAGCCCGATCTAATCATGACTGGTTCTTCCAGCAGGCATCTCAGCCCTTACCTCGGTACCCAGCAATGCGACAAGCAGCTCAACCCTTCCAACCGACGGAGAAGCACGCAGAGCTCGCCACCGCGTCCGCGAGCTGCACAACCTGTTCTTCCACCATTGATCCGGAAAAGGTTTATCATGCCAGACTGGGCGAAGACAGACACCTCGATGGTACCCCGGTTTCCGGAGTCTCGGGAGCAACCGCCGCTATCTGGGCCAGCTAAGTCATTGAAGAGCAAGTCAAAGAGGAAGGCTCTGCGTAAACAGTCCGAGAACGAGAACGTGGTCTGTGCGGAGGAGATCAGCTCATCGAGGCCACAACGAAGCGGGAGTCTACCGCCCGCGACGTCGATTCGTCAGACGAAGCAGCCCTCTTCACGGTCTTCAGCAGCAGCAGCGTCGCAGCCTGTGGTTGCGTGTTCATCCGATTTAGACGCGATCTGTCAGCGGCCGTCGACGCCACCACCCCGCCCCCATTCTTCATCCACTCCCACACGACAGCGGAACTTCACTGTTGACTCGCCAGAAACCCCGCTTTTCACGCCTGTGTCGAGAAGACATTCACCACGAGCATCGTTATGCACGCCAAGGGCGAGGCAGCCTTCTCCGCCCAAGATACCGAGCTTATATTCGACGTTTTCGTCGATGCTGACGCCACGCCGGAAAGGTAAAGGCAGAGAGCAGCCGTGCGACAGCCCAAATCTGCACGTAGGGGCATGCCTGCCTGATCATCATGCTCCTCTGGTAGACACCCCGCAGTCAGACGATGTGTCGTCTCCCTCCACGTCACTGCCAGTCGCGAGCAGCGATGCTGAGGCTGACTTTGATCCTCCTCGCCCTCGCACACCGGCAGCGCCAAATCAAGAGGAACACTGGTCGGTAGGGCTTCCCCCTTCTTCCCCGCTGCCTCCTTCGTCTCCGCCACTGCCATCGAGCCCTCTGCCTGAGCCCGAAAGTGAGCCTGGTGACACTTTGGGTGAGAACTCGGTACCGTTGTCAGGTGTGGCGTCTGACATGGTTTCGTTCGTTCCGCTGCACGGGCACGGCGCTCTTGCTGGGATATCATTTTCTCCCGAAGACATTGAGGAGCTGTTTTCAATGTCGACATTCTCGTCAGACGATGTCCTGGGCGCAATGGGCTTTGACACGTTGGTAGCGACAACACGGCAAGAAGACTTCGGCACGATATCCATGCAAGGCTTGCCGCCCGATTTTTCTGATAATTGTGACTTTGCGACAGGCGGAGGCACCAATAATGTCGAACTTGCTGACTTCAAGTTGGATTTGAACGAACTTTGGGAGACGATGAAGCCGCTGACGCAGACGGAGGGGGAGGTGACGTCTGAGATTGCAGAGGCTGTTACCGCACTGGGAGTTGACCCAGCGAAGCTGGCTCAGGACTTGCAGGACCTGTATAGTGGATGCGTACTGTAGACAGCGATGGCACGAGCGTACTGTACGTGTGGCTCGGGCGTGATTTGCTTCCGCGGCGTCAGTTTGTCGATCGTGTATCTCACAAAGTGCTACACCGCTCATGTTGAATTATAACCGTTCCCTCGTTTCTTTTTTCCACTTTCAAGGTGTGTTTTGCTAGCTGTTGCTGAGGACGACTGCGAATCAGGTGTTCTCGCTGGGGCGTCAAGCGATCCCTCGCTGTAATTATCAGAACTTGCGCAGGCTGATACGGTAGCCCTCCGCCGGCACTTCTCGCTTCCCCTCGTCACTTCTCTCTTCGTCCCTCGTCGAGCCTCTTCATCTCCTCCCTTTACTGTGCACATTTGCCTTGCCTTTCCTTTCCTTTCCTTTCCTCTCTCCCGACGGTCTCCCCGCCCGCCACTTGCACCGTAAACATGAGTGCTCCCGCGGGTGGCAGCGCGACAAGCAGCACGCCTCCCGCGCTCCAGGAGGCGACTGCACGCTCGACCGCACTCTGGCAGGACGACCTCCAGGCGCTGTTTGAGCAAGCTAAAGATCGCTATCCTGATGTTGTTTGGGAGCTTTTGGACGAAGACGATTCAAAGGGCGCGCGCACAGAGGAGGTCTGGGGTCATAAAGGTATGCATCTCTCCTCATCATTGAGCCAGTCGAATGTCTACGTCCAGCGCGCGAGCCCGCGTACCAATAGCTTTATAAGCTATTTCTACATGTATACAAGTCCATGACGTGTAGGCAAGGCATTAGCGGGGCGTCCGCCCCGCGGGATCTGTATAATCCGTGCCAGTCGGCCAGCACTCAGGCTGCTCTCGCGCATGTCCCATGTTCTAACTTGTTCCGCTTTGCAGCTATTGTCTATGCCCGTGCGCCACCGTCGTTCCAGAGCCGATACTTCCAGTCAAGACCGGCTCCGACCCAGTCGCCATATCCATACTCTACGTCGCCCATCTCATTACCTGCGCAATCGGCTCTATCACTAGCCCTTGGCCACGACTTTGGCGCAATATCACGGTCGCCATCTCCTTTCCGCGCTATTTCACCGTCACCATCTACAAATCTTGGCGGGATCCTGCGACTAAACGCGCATATCAATGCAACACTATTCTCGAACGAACTCGAATACCTTTACACGGGCAAGGGCTTAGGAGAGGCTTTCGAGTTCTTATTTGATTCTGGTGAATCTCAGGAAGAAGGAGATGGCGAGGACGCCCGGACGGACAAGCTACGCAAGGATCTTGTCTTCATGTGGCGATCTCGTCTCTACTCTGACGTCCGGATCGCTCTTACAGGCAATTTCTCCTCGTCCAATCACGAAAATGCGACTGCCATATTCTCCTCCCACCGATTTATCCTTGTATCGCGCTCCCCTTATTTCCGTACACAACTGCTTCAATGGGGTGTGAAGCAGACCGCCGGAGAACCGCTCACGCTCACCTTGCCTTCACCACCGTTCACGCCCGCTTCCCTTCATTTTACTCTCGGATACATCTATACTGGCACCCTAGTTTTCTCCCATCGTACTTTCGACCTCGACACTGCTTTTCACATCATGCGTTCGGCAACGTACCTCGGTCTTGACGCCCTGTACGACGAGATTCAGGCGCGCATTGTCCAAGAGATGATGCATGGGCTCTTCCATGCCTTCCTTGAGTTCTCCGAATACGAAAGCATCACTGGCGGCAAGTGGGGCGCTGGCGGCTGCAAGTGCCGGCAGTGTGCTCGACGCGCTCCGCGCGTACTCGAGTTCTCGCTATTCGATGACGTGAAGAATCCGCATCTCGAGCGAGGTGCACGTCGCGCTCTAGTCGGACTTTTCGGAGAAGGCTGGTGCAACGCAGAGTTCGCGCGTCTCACGCAAAAGACGCGAGACGGCTTGCTGAAGGGTCTCGTGAAGCGCACGACACCACTCAACGTGTTCCCACTACTATATGCCGCGCAGGTGGGCGTGAAGAAGCTCGAGGGAACTACAGAGCCATGGGCTGAAATATCCCGGGATATGCTTTTCGCTGCGCGCAAGATGATTGATGAAGTGCTGTGCACTCAGGCGGCGGAGTGCTTTGAGCAGGACGAGTGGCTCGAGATCATGGAAGCGGATGGTGCGCATTTCGAGGACGGAGAGAGGGTTGAGTGGGTCATGGATGCAGTTCGCCGGGGCATGAGCGAGAAGAATGCTGCGACGCTCTATCAGGTGCGTCATGCGCGTGTTTATAGGTTGTCATCATTTAACTTTAGAATCCGTCTCAGACTTTGGTGTCATCAATTCTCCTTCGCCCTCACACCACAGAGCCCGATCAAGCTATGCTTTCAGCAACTTCACATGTCAGAGTCCAGGTCGAACAGACCAGAATGGACATCCTACGTTGGATGCGGAGGCGTTGGGTAGGTGTGAAGCAAGAAGGTGGCTTCGACAAGTTGGAGGATTGGGCTCTGGTCGAGATTGCACATGGTCCGTCATTTCATCATGCTCGGCTTGTAGGATAGTTACGACATCTCCCACAGAAATTGACGTGAGGCAGGAAGAACTTCTCAATCCCAACGGACCTCCTGCAACGCCTACTGGCAAGCCACGCAGCGGGCCTAAAGCAGTGGCTGAAGATGACAACCACAGCATATACTCGTTGAGATCGCCTCCTTCAAACCGCAACACGACACGGGTCGCAGGTGACGTCGCTAGGGCGTCTGCGGCGTCCGCAAGGTCTGTTGCGCGAAGCACGCACTCTACCGTCTCCCGCACATCAACTGCTACCCGCAGGATAATCAATATAGCTGGACCCCGTCCTGATTACAAGCTTACGCCAGGTGCTGGCTCTTCCATAGCCAGTTCAGCGCGCTCTTCACGCGATTCCACCTCAATACCTCATGCGACTCCTAGGCAGACACCCACGCCCCGGAGGCATGCATCTGCTACTGCGTCGACAAGTGATATACCCGCACGATTACGGTCATCTGCTGCATCAGCGAAGTCTGCAGTCTCGAGGGCTTCGACAGTACGGAAGACTGCGGCGAGCCCTTCCAGCTTGCATTCGCCCTCAGGCCTTTCTCGACCAAATTCCACCATGTCGACCACCAGCGATAGCTCAACCAACTTCGAGACGGCTAAGTCTGACATCACTCCAAGTACAGCTGCACGCTCCAGAGCCGTATCAAGCGTCTCAGCTACCAGTGTTCGTACGGCAGCTACCTCATCGCCAAGAGCCAGAGTGTCCTCGGCTGCATCCAGGATCTCTGCAATGTCCACAGGCGCTAATGCGAATGGCAAGCGAGCACCGTCATCGCTTGCCGACAGCAAAAGGCTCTCCCCTATTGCGTCCAAAAGATCACTCTCCAATTCATCTACTCGTTCATCTGTAGCATCAACCGTGTCAACTGCCACCGCGACCAGCAAATCAACATCCCGGAAGTCCGCGAGCACCATTCCTCCGCCAGTTCCACCGAAAGGTGATCGATCATCAAGATCGTCTACAACTGACCGGAAGGCGACTGTAAAGGCGAGACCGAAATCGTCGTCGCACTCCAAGCAACCGAGTACGGCTAGCGTGAGGACTGTCAAGGGTTCATTAACGCGCAAGAACTCGTCAGACACAATCACAGATCGGTCAGCGGTAGGTCTGTCGTTAAACGACCGAACTGAGTCGCCTCGAGGCGCAACGCTTGAGATTGGCATCCCGTGCATAATCTCTTCCAAAAGAGCTCGGTTCCGCGCGTATGCACGCTACATTGGCGAAGTCGAGGGCGAGGTGGGCCCATGGGTCGGCGTTGAAGTGCCAGTCGGCGAAGATTGGCCGGAGGAGAAGCTCGAGGGACGACAGTGGAACGACGGTACGTGGGGCGGAATACGCTACTTCGATATTGGCGCTACGAGCGAATGGGACTATGCCGACATTCGACGGCGACGCGTAGATTGGAGCGGCAACATGGCGGGCCATGGCAGCGGCCTGAAGCGCGAGGGCGACCAGCTGAGCATCGACCGCTCGAAGCGGTTGCGCAGCGTCTCACCCGCGATATCAGACACCTCTAACACCGAGTCTCGAGGGCTCTTTGTGAGGCCTCAGCAAGTTCTCTACGTTGTCGACGCTGTAGCGTAACCGATCTCGACTGTGCGACTGGGGCATTTTGGCGTATGCTCATCCCAGAAGATGGTCCATACATCTGATACCACTGTTTCGCTGCTTGATATCCTTAGAACCATGCACTCTTCGCTTCGCTTCTCTTCCTTTGTTTTGAGATTCATCTGCTTGCTACAAAGCTACCACATTCGTTGTTTTTAATGCCACTATTTGCGTGATCGTTCAGTGTACCCTATTTTTTCTCAGAAGCATATGCTATAGCGGAGCAACTGTACACACTGGTGCCATTTGAACGATAACGCAGGAGGCCGATAGCCTCCCGAATATACAAACATGAGCTGGCCCCAAATATTGTACGGCACACATAATGTGTACTTCTCATTCCATTTCGGCTTGGAGAGTCTTGTCCGACTCTTTGTCCTCATCTGACGCAGGGCAATGATTCGGATTGGGTAACAGCCAGTCATCTGCTTCCGCTGCAATATATCTCAATGGCAGTGAAGTCCGGGGTAAGATTAACCTCACCTTGAGCTTCTCTCGAGTGCTTGTACGAATCTTCTAGCTCCTTCAGTACATTTTCTTGCATCGCAGACACCTCCGTTGAAGATTTGCATGTCTTGTACTTATCAATAAGGGACCTACAGATGTTCGTTATAAACAGGGAGCACATGCAACGCAAACAAAGTCACCCGTTAACTTCGTAGAATGTGTGACCCCATCCAAAAGGCTTCAACAAGGCTTCGGCGTAGCTGTTGAAGCCCGTGATGTAAAACGCAGCGGCCAGGGCTTCCACACAGTTTAATCTCCATGGGCGGCCATAGTTCACAGGATTGGTGGCAATAAGATAGGGCACTGCAAAGAGGCGTACTTAAAGACAAGAGCGTACGAACCCGCAGTTAAAGCCTTACAAAGCCTTTCGTGAGGGCTCGCGATCTTCCCAAAAGGTACCTCCTCTAGTCTTGCCCACGAGCATTCCACGACTGCGATACCATTAGCAGCTACAATGTCTTGGTCGGCTGGGCTGATCGGCTGCGCTCCATTTGGCCTATTGAACGTGAGTTAGAATAAAAATGTCGATTCTTTGCCCGTCGCGTACGTACGAAACAACAATCCCTCGGAAGCGCTGACCAACTCTGAGGTTTTGTACAAGGCCTGCGCGGGCGAGCTTCTTGCCAGAGCAGCGGCGTGGGTCACAGTGGTCAAAATCCTAGCAGCGTAGGCCCTTAAGCAACTCGCTGGCACAGGCGTTGAGGCTGAATGAGCACTGACCCACATCGCGACGGGGACTTCTATTCGCATGGTCTCTCCTACACAGTGATATAATACTTGGCTTAGAGTATACACTCTAAGACACACCTTGAGCATCCTCCTCGTCGCCGTCCTCGTTCTCCTCTAGAACATCTACAGCACTGTCAGGTCGTCGTTCGTCTATCAAATTTCCCTGTCGTTTATTCTGTCGTACGCCTCGTGTGCTGTGTGAGCCGCGCCCTCGTTTGCTGTGTGCTGAGCCTCTCGAGGAAGATGGTTTGGGCATGCGAAGATGAGTGTCAAGACGAAAGAATAATTGAGCTGCAAGGGGAACGCCCAGGCGCAGACTGGACCCACTTGCGCCTACAGGCCCGATGATGGCGATTCGCGGATTAACTTAATTGACGGTATTGAACAGTGCAAGCGAATTGTGTCACAAGTATGCATTCTGTGAAATACGATACTAGAAACGGCTGTGTAGGACCGTACACTACGTCAATTAATTTAGCCTCTGAAGGCAGTAGTCGTTATCAGATGACGTCGCGAAACAAAGGCAGTATTGAACTGGTAAGCTGATAGTTGACAAACAGGCCGAGGCGTGTATGTGAGTGTCCTTTCGTGACCTAGGCAGAGCCTGCTTTGTAAATTTTCCCGAAGGCCAGGGCCTGGAATCTGAGCGTAATGTTCAGCAGATGGTTACGGAAGTGTGCGATAGACACTTACTGGTCGTACAGCGCGAGCACCCCGGCAGCGGCTACACCCCGGAAGATATTTGCACCAGCGCCGGCTATTCAGCATTCGCATTGTAATAAGCAAGCGGTCGAATTTCCGTTGCATATATCAGCGCATACCAAAAAATGCTTTGATGCCTTCCTTGGTAGCAATCTGCCTTCCCGCATCAATCCAGTTTTTGTAACGGACCTATTCGACGTCATTTAGTCGACCACGAAGTCTGAAGATAGAATATCTGCTTTACCTTCTCCCCAGAGGTCATCATCATGCGGCGCCTGATGGTGTCAAGCGGGTAGGATGCTAACGCAGCAGCCTGAAGTACGAGGCTTAGTGACTGAAGAGATTTCGCATGTGAGTGCTCGTAGCATACCGTGGTACAGGTCCATCCGACGGCGAAGGATGCCAGGAAGTTGCCCTTCAGAGAACCAACAAGGAAAGTATCTCGAATAGTGTCATAACCGCCGAAGCTATCGCGTGATAAGTATATGGATGTACTATCAAACTTCAGGTATTACTTACTATAAACCGCGGTAGACACAAATACCCACAACGCTGGGGACAAATCCTCGATACAGGCCTGCAATACCAT